TTCGTGTACAAAATGGGCACATATAGTATGTGAAGGAATTCCTAAATGCAAATACGATGATACGAATGAATCTTTTGAAAATTGGCAATGTACTGTATGTACTCTGAAACATTTTCCCTTTTGGGAACAAGAAGATATCTCTCCCGTAGAAACTTATCTTGGATATTCTCATCTTGCGAATATTATACATGATTCTACTTCGAATGAAGATAATAGATACAGTATACTTTGTGATTTTACAAAGGAAAAGGGCATTAAATTAGCACACCTTAACATAAGAAGTTTAAGAAATAAAGTTACAGATGTAAAACAATTTCTAATGTCAAACCCCTTCGACATTTTAGGACTATCCGAAACATGGTTGAATGAGGATTTTTCAAATCATATGATTTCTATCGATGGTTACAAAATTGAAAGAAATGACAGGGATGGCACTGGCGGTGGTGGTGTAGGATGTTACATTAACGAGAAATTTAATTACTTAAGAAGAACAGATCTTGAAACAAAGGAGCTTGAACTCATGTGGCTAGAAATCAAAAGAACAAGTAGTAGTTCGATTTTTGTTGGTATTTTATACAGGAAACCTTCCTGCCCAGGTACATTTTTTACCGTCCTTGAAGGGAATATTGAGAAAGTAATGTCATTGTCAAATAATATTGTTTTGCTAGGTGATTTCAACTGTAATATGAGAAATGATAATACATTGTCTAAAAATGTTAAGGATATTTGTCGTATTTGTCAGCTTAATCAGTTAATCAATGAGCCTACACGAGTTACACCTCATAGTAGTACACTCATTGATTTAATACTTACCTCGAATTCTATTGCTAACTTGAGGTCCGGTGTAATGCCCATTGGTTTTAGTGACCACTGTTTAATATTTTTAGTCGTAAAAGGCAAAAATCCAATGCTTCATTCGAAAATATGTAAATTTAGATCTTTTAGGAACTTTAACGAAAATGAATTTCAAGAGGACTTGAGAAATCAAAATTGGGCTGAGTTTAATGAAGAAAATGTTGAAGTTGATAAAATGTGGTCTAATATCAAATCGGTGTTCACAATACTAAGTGATAAACATGCACCTTTTATTTCTGTCAGAAGAAAACGTAATGGAGTGCCTTGGATTACAGACGAATATATTACTTTGGCACGTGACCGTGATTACTATAAGAAAAGGTATAAAAAGACAAAATGTGATTGTTGCTGGGAAAAGTTCAAGTTTTATAGAAATAAAGCAAATAACCTAAACAAAAATCTTGAAAGAGCGTATTATAAAAATGAGTTCTCAGAATGCGGAAATGATTTAAGCAAAAATTGGAAGGTTTTAAAAAAACTCTTGCCTTCAAGGCAAAAGGAGGTAAGCAACACAATCCTAATTGATGATGAAATAATAACTGACAAAGTAAAGGTGGCAAGTTTATTGAATGAAACTTTTAATAATGTGAGTTCAAATCTACAAACTGGTACATGTTCTAGCATTGTAGATGATAATTTCAATTCTTTACAAACGTTATCTCAAACCAATTTTTCTTTCGAATTTCAAGAAATCAAATCAGAATTTGTTAGAAATGAACTACGCAATATTGATTGTAAAAAGGCTATAGGAATGGATGGTCTACATCCCAAGTTACTCAAATTATCTGCAGATATCATTGCAAAACCACTGACCATATTATTTAACCAATCATTAAAAACTTCACGATTTCCATTTGATTTCAAGATTGCAAAAATCACTCCGATACACAAAGGAGGAACGTTTAGTGTGGATAATTTCAGGCCCCTTTCAATACTGCCCTCTTTGTCAAAAATTCTAGAGAAAGCCGTACATAAACAATTGTATTCTTACCTTAACCAAAATAATCTATTATCAGAACGTCAGTCTGGATTTAGACCGCTTCATTCCACAACCACATGTCTCACAGAAATTACTGATTACCTTCTTGATAATATGAACTCAGGTCAGATTACTGGAACAATATTTTACGATCTTAGGAAAGCGTTTGACGTTATTCCACATAAAATAATACTTGATAAATTAATTTTTAATGGCATGAGTAACAAGGTGTGTGAATGGTTTAAATCTTACTTAATTGGTAGACAACAATATGTTACTATAGATAATCATTGTAGCGAGTATTTAACTGTTAAATCCGGGGTGCCACAAGGGTCAATTCTGGGCCCCTTGATTTTTTGTTTGTATATTAATGATATCAATAATTTAACATTTCATAATAATTCCAAAATATCACTTTATGCTGACGATACTGTCATTTTTAATAATTCTAATGTTTTTTCTGAAGTTCAAGAAAATTTACAAAATGACTTTGATTTAATATGTAAATGGTTTGATATAAATAAGATGTATATACACCCTCAGAAAACTATGGTGATGTCATTTGGATCAAAAAGAAAGTTGGAGAACAATCGTCTCTCAATTAAATTAAATGGTACAAATTTACAGTGTGTCGAAACAATGAAATACCTAGGAGTTATACTTGATTCACAACTTACGTGGTCTGAACATATAAAATATATAAGTACTAAGATATCTCGTTCTATTGGATGTATTCGTCGTATAAAACGCCTAATACCCCATAAAACTCTTGTAAACCTCTATTTTGCATTAATTTTACCACATATCGACTATTGTTGTACTGCTTGGGGAAACTGCTCAAAGACAAATTTATCGAAACTGCAAAAGTTACAAAATAGATTTGCGAGATTGATTTTAAATAAGGATTACGACACACCACAATGTACACTTCATACGACTTTAAATTGGCAATCGGTCGAACAAAGATTAAAACATCACTACTGTTTATTAGCTTTTAAAATTATAAATGTCATGGCCCCAACTTATTTAAAATCACTTATAAATTATAGCACCTTCAACTACTGTACCCGCTATTCCTTAAATGCTCTACTTGACATCCCATACCCCAAAACCGATTTCAAAAAAAGATCATTCTCATATAAAGCAAGCACCCTATTTAATAAACTTCCTTCCTCAATCCAATCAACCAAATTAATTCAAATATTTAAGCGCGGATGCCAATTGGCAAAGCATTTATTATAGTCGAATCTCCGTTCTTATTTCCCTCTACCGGTATAATTATTTTTCTTATGTTATATATGTTTGTACTCTATATTATGTCAAATAATTATGTCAATGTTTAGTTTTGATGAATGTTATATTTTGTATATAATCCTTGTATTTTTGTATATCGCACATTTGTTATGTTAGAGGGCGTACTTGGAAAGCAGTTTTGTTAAACTGAATGTACCTACCCTCTATTTTAAATAAAACTTGAATAAATAAATAAATAAATAAATAAACATTTCTCCAGTGGCACCCCTAGATGTCTTGCAGCACCCTGGTTGAAATACGCTGTTCCAGATGGTCAACATTTGAGGGGGCAGATTGACCTGGGCCCCGTCTTACAAAGAGTTACGATCGATCCAAATCAATCGTAAGTCCTCCAATCAATCGCAAGTTTGCAATTTCCTATCTCTTATGTACATAGTTACGATTGATATCAATCGCAAATAAGTTACGATTGATATCAACTCTTTGTAAGACGGGGCCCAGGCCGGGAGGGGATTTACGCCTTGCCCCTTTAGAGTGGAAAAATGTTGCATTTTAAAGTGAAACGGACACAAGTACATACTCTCTTTGTCTCTTTTCCTGTGTGTCTTCTATCTTTCACTCCAATCTCCATTTCGTTTTCTTCTCTGGTGTACACTACATCAAGGATACAGATCTGAACATTCAAAAACATTTTCGATAATTTGACTACAAATTGGTAATACTAGGGAGATGTGAGTTTTTACTGCTAAAATCTACCTAGTAAAAAATCATTCACAAATGCTAGCATTAACACAAAGAGTTAAATGAGAATCCCTATAGGCCTACTCTAAATGAGTAATAAAGATACCCCAACAAAGGAGGGAAACAATTTGTCATTGACTGGAGAAGCAGGGAAGGGGGACCTTTGCACCACACAATTCCTATTTAATTAACAACATTTTATACCATTCCAATTTACAACATAATGAAGAATATAATAACAAGGAAAGATTGCACATAAAAACTGGCAGACCAGATGTGAAGGAAATGATTAAGATTGTGACCAATGACCATAACTCGCAGCCACTCGATTACAACAAATATGTCTTTGATCTCAGCTATTCAACTCATTTTTAGCTATTACCGCCGGGCATGGCGAATTCAGCCATAATATGTCACAAAAACAGAAAATATCCAAGGTTTCAATAGAAAGGAGGAAGTAATAATACATCAGTTGAAACTAGGGAAATATAAATTCAATTATGATCGGCACATTATTAATCAACATAAAGATGGACTATGTATTCATTGTAAGGTTTCAGAAGCTATAGAGCATTTTTTTTACTACAATGCAAGAAATATAAATGAGTAAGAAGGATAATTAATGCAAAGACGATTGAAATGTAATACGTTAGATTTAGTAAAATTATTAGGGAATTCATCGGATTTTAGAGTCCTCTTAGATTATATTAAAGATACAAACAGATTTGAAATTTTTGTATAGATATAGTGCGCTTTCCTCTGTGAGTATAATGATTGAAATGTTTGATTATCATCAATATTAAAATCATAAGGATGACATCCTTATGATTAAAATACACGACTAATGGTGAAGAGAAATGAAATATAATTAATCTTTCACAGTAGCACTTCGCTGAGACGGGTGAGCCAACTCTTAACTCGAAAACAGAAGTCTGGAAAGACAGAGCCCCATCAGTAAAAGTGAGCCATGCCATGAGATCCAGTTCGACAAGATGAACATGCACCAAAGAAGGAACGCCGTGGCGCAGATAATCTGTCAAGATTGAAGAGCGCCAGCTAAACGCCAATAACAACAACAATCATACAATTTTAGGGGATTCCCTATGAGGTAATCATAAGAACGCGCGCGCCCGCACGATATAGGGCGCGGCCGGCCGTGGACATCATAGACAAATACAGTAGTGGCATGCATTACGTGCGCAACGATCCCGATGTCACAGTCTTATTTTCAGCTAATTTCCCGCTATTGACGTAGAATCTTGATTTCCATCATCCATGCAAGCTGCCCAGGCTGTAGACAGAAATGACACTTGCGTGAATAGGAAACCACCATTCGCTCGATCGGATCCCTACAGTACAATTTCTTTCTTGAATTATTCCCATCGGCCACCAGGCCATGCCACTCCACAGGTCACACGTTAGCCTGTAGGCCTAATCTGTAGTAGCGCTTAACTGTAAACAAGCTTGTGCATGCGGATATCGGATGAACGAGTGGTTTCCAAAACCACGATATAGTCATAGAAAATAACCATCTGGTGAGTATGGGGTTATTTTTCTTATAACTAACATTTGTCAACCTTCTATAAGGCAATTTGCTCTTTATTGATGACCCATTCTCACAGTGTCACTCGTAATTTGCTGTTTGTGTATTTTATTTTACGTTTACCCGAGAGTCTGCAAGAATGCTGTTGATCTCACACAATGACACATATCTGCATTACTATCCTGGCTGTGTATTAAAAGCTGTTTTATTGATTCTCAACATTTCAAACACCACTGTACAAAACTCAACTGAGTGATTTCACTGAAAATCGGTACTTTAGTGATAATTGATGACACCTAAATATGAGTAAAATACCATTTTTTCATCTTACCATCTTACGAAGAATGCACCATCTCCTACCATCCGAAGAGCCCTTATAGTGAGAGCCCAATTACTCACATCCACCTACTTGACACAATGCCGTCTCTTCACGCTTAAAGATAAACTTGACTTCTGGTAATGCGATTGCTTTGTGAAAGAAAAGGTGTGGAATGTATCAGAAAAGTTGATCATATAGCATGTAAGTAATGGTGTGTAATGCAAGGTTCTGGAGTCATCAAAATTGTCATAAATTTGGCAGAGTCTTGGAAAAGTAACAATCACTTACACAGAAAGATGTATATGGGACAACACACATGTTGTCGGGGCTAGTACTACCCTGATTTCCTTATCTTTCTATGCTCATTACTCAGCCAGTATACATTTTCTTCCAAAATTGTTTGGCACATGACATTTATTTGTAATCTTGAACATTCAGTGTAAGTTTCGTTAGATTCTGTGAGAATTCATTTTCTTTTTTTTACCAGAACTCAAGTTTATCTTTAAGAAATCACCTATCTCTACATGCCCCCTTTGTAAAACCAATGATGAGACAGTGGAGCACTTTGTTGGAGTCTGCTCATACCTAGCCCATCTTCGTCAGGATTTCATCAGCAAAGTCAAGGAATGCCTCGTGGATTATCCCATCTGGTTAAACCTATATAAGGATGATGACCCACAGCAATTTACCCCTCCTACTCTGTTACCCCTGCATCCATGCCTGCCTTCCGAAATTCATAATAACCTACTTCTACTATCGCTCTTTTTCCTACACAAAATTGAAGCTTCTCGTTCTAAGACTCTCCAAAGCTCCTAACCGGTCGGATTTTAAACATTTACTTTATTTGGACTCCAGGAATCTCCAAAACAGTGGAGGGATCAACTAAGAAGAAGAAGAAGATGTTAAAAAAAAAATACCCGGTAGTTTAAAAATTCAAGTTGAAAGTCTAGGGTCAAATTTGCCGATCAGCCACACCGGCTTTAGTGTGTAGCCTACATTGGTATGCAATAGAGTGTGGTGTGTGTATTGTGTGTTATACCTGCCTCTCAGCAAGTATGCAGTGCTAGAGGTCAATACGCATTAGCATTGACTCTATGCTTTGCTGTAGTGGTTGAGCTGAGTGTATAGTCGAGCTTGGAGTTCAGACTTTTGTATTTATCCTTCTCATATCTTTTTACAGGCATTGTTGTCGTTTTTGGTTTCATCAGAGTTTTACAACATAATGAAGAATAAAATAACTAGGAAAAAACCTGGGGCTAGGGTACATTACGAAGGGTGCGAAAGCTTTTGTCCATGAAGCCTTACATATGTTTAAACCTAACTTGTTTACGGTAAACCACTACGAAAGAGTCTCAGCTACCGGGAAACTGTAGAATCTCGCTTTAGAAACCACCAGATGAAATAATTGAAATATCAAATTGAAGAATAAGAGTTGTTCTAATTAGCTCGTAAATATTGCAGTTGTCAAATTCTTGTTACCCTGTTTTAAAGCCCCACTGCACTACTTTTAGCTACTTGCACCCTCTTGCCAAACTAGTGAAGAGGGGCTTAATAATATGTGAAAACTGAGCGAAATGAAGTGCCATTTTTTAGAACTGAAAATATATTGCAGTAGGCAGGCCTCTCGCCAAGAAATTGAAAACGCGTGGTACGACCCCCCCCCCCCCCCATTTTTTTTTTTTTTTTTTTAATTTTTTTTAAAGAACTTCTTCTTCTTCTTCTTCTTCTTCCTTTTGAGTACAGACCTTTTACAGAGTATTATCGTACTATACTGGGGATGTGCAGGTGGACAAGTATTACAAGTCATTTGATGAATTTTTATCATGGTATTATATTCCGGGTCATTGTCATATTTACCCTTGCACTAAATAATCTAAATTATCAATGTTATTCTATCTGTCTATGTTGGACTTTGTGAAATTTGTTATCCAATGTTACGAAGAAAACAAAATGAGAATGATCCTAGTTGTTTGGATTTTTTAAAGCTGTAATTATTTTCGTTACCGGTATATTAAAAACAATATTGCATTTTCTTATTTTCACAAAATTTGCAGTACCGTACTAAAATTTCTGCAAGTCTTTTACTTTATATTTGAGTAAAATAAATTCTCTGTCTCAAAATGAAATTATACACCTGTCAATGAAACTTTGATTCAAGGTCAACACACACACAGACTAGGCCGCTGCGCTAAGCTATGTGCACACAATACCATACCTGCCAACCCTTACGAATAATTCGGAATATTCTGTTTTTGGAGATTTCTAGGACCTGAAAATCCGGAATACCGTATTTGCCGGCATAAAGGCCGCAGTATTTTTGGAAGAGAAAATATCAACAAGTTGGGGTGCGGCCTTTACAGCGAAAGAGTAAAAAAAAAAAAAAAACTTGAGTCAAAACCAGCACAAATTTTGCACATATGGGACTACGAACGGTACAATAACTATACCACTATGGTACAGGACATTTCAACACATCTTACCGACAATTTTATCTTGCATTGTTGACATGAATAGGAAAATAAATTGCTAAACCAACATTTGCCGATGGATGTTGATCTAAGTTTGTGCCAATGCATTGCAAAATAAATTGGTATGGGCCGGTACTGTGAAAATATATTGAAGTTGCCTGCAACTTGCAACTGTAAGTCAATCAAGTTTACTGGACCACAGCAGCCACAGCGTAAAACAGACCATCGATGGCTCATTTTGCATTTATGGTATGCACGCCTTTTCCTTCAACAGATTCCCTATTTCCATTCTCACCAGTGCCTTTTTTCATATCTGTTGAGGCCTTTTCAGGTGCAAGAAGTGCCCCATTTCTGATAAGTGCCTACTTTTCCTTTCTCCCATAACATGCACCCCTAATTTAAAGTGACTTTTTCTTTAATATTCATTATAGCTTGCTCGCTACGCATGCTCACGTTTGTAGTTGTTATAATTATGTTACCTATAAAAGAACTGTTCAGTCTTTCTTTTATATTAGACTGTGCTTTAAAATTCTATCAGAGTTGTTTTTTGTCCTCATTTATATGATTTAATTTTTCGCACTGGGACCTCACAAACTTAAATTTTTTGCTTTCTCGCTCAAAAATATTAATATAAATATAAATATTAATATTAATATTAATATTGATATTCAGACCGTCACACCCAAATGCAAACTTTGTTGCTTAGGCAGTATCTTGTACCACATAAAGAGAGAAAATGTCATCCCTGGTAGTGTAATCACAATCATGACGATGTAGGGGTATAGTTCAATGTCTAAAAAATGGTGTGTTCACTTTGGGGTTTCCCTTTGTTGGTGCCCTCCCTCACTTTGGAAGACGCTAAGACGCCCCTGCTATATATCATATATGGCTGTGACCTAGTGCCCTAAAACTTTGCAATTTGTTTCAAAACTCAAAATTACCAAAATTTCAGCTTTTCAAAAACGTCCTATGATGGTGTGCTATCCATAATATATTATGAGCAGTGCCCCAATGGAGAATTAGAAGGAAAAAACAATATTTTTTGTACGTAACAAACAGAAGAGTTGTCCATGATTACGACACAATCCACAGACCAAATTACAAATTTGAGATACACATAGATTTAGTATTCTCATATTTAAAACATTCATAATTTCTTATTGAGTTGACTCAATTTCATTTCAACTTTCACCAGTTTCGTTATTCAAAATGTCTGCTTTCTGTAAGAGCAGTTATTAGCTATTAGGATTGGATTTTCATTTAAAACCTGACTTTAATGTCCTGGGGGTCAGTTAAACACACCGACTCACAGCCTTGGCTATCGAAGACAAAAAAATAAATAATATTAAAGAGAGAAAGAATTTTGGGAGAGAAGCATCCCCCCCCCTCCCGAGATCTGGTGCAAGTGTGTTTTTAAACTGTTGAAATCTATAAATTCCACCATTTACAGCTGTATCTGACATCACCATGCTCTTGTGTCAATAGGCCATTTTCGTAATGTAACCAAATTTAATGCATACGTCTTTGTAAAGTGCCTCAATACAAATTATTTTATTCACCTGATGAGAATAATAGTATTTCAATAGACAGAATCCGAACTGCATACATTAGTTGTTGCCAGGTTGGACAAACATTATGGCTTGACCTACCTAGCAACACTTAATATATGCAGTTGCATTCCGACTATTGAAATACTATTAATCCTATCAGGTGAATGAAATAATTTGTATTGAGGCACTTCACAAAGACTTATGCATTACATTTGGTTACATTACGAAAATGGCCTATTCCCATAATATTATTTCTTTCTATATACACCCTATACAATCAGCATATTCCCAATATGATATTTAATTAGCTTTACTAGTAATCATAAACCCTTTGAATATATATATATATATTGTCAGAGATGGGTACATCGCCCCCCCCCCCCCCCCCCCCCGAATATAATACATTTCTATGTGGTGCCAAGTGTAAAACATGTGATTCTGTCACAAAATAAATGTTTTGTCACCAAATCAATCTCACCATTTGATTTTGTCACAAAAGCAATCTCACAAATTTATTTTTATCACAAAATCACTTGATGAGATTGCTTTTTGTGATAAAACATTGATTTTGTGACAGAATCACATGTGTTACACTTGGGGCCCCATACATTCCAGCCCCTTTTATCTTTAAATATAGTTCAGTATTAAATCACACATGTCAAGTCAAGAGGCACATATTTGGATAAGGAAAAAAAGTTTTAAAAAGTAATCCATTTTATGTACACTGTAAATACATGCCACTTTAATATATGCATAGTAAGTAGAATCCCCTTTTTATGGTCAATTACAGGAAGTCTTGCTGGGGTTATCATTCATGTACCTTTCCAGCGGACTGAGTTTCTGTCGAATGAGAAGGACGTCTTGCACCATGGATGGATTCTGCCTTCTCTATCTGCTCATGATCCTCCTGATGAGATCTGGTGATGTTGAAACCAACCCTGGACCAGACAGGTCAGTCTATATGTATTTGAACTTATTTCCAGTTCTTTATTGCAACATTAATGAGCAGTAGGGATATTAAGTATTTTTCTCACTATTAAACCATAACACCACATACATGCATGCCAATTTTTCTTCCATATTCAAGTGCACTGCTCAATGAGGTATAAGTCTTGTGTCTGTATGCTTCAATATACCTTTGAATAAATCTCATCAGTACATGTAGCTTAATAAAATCAGATAGGTATGCTCATGAAGCTGCAGGTACTAACAGTGCTCAGCTGTAGGAGCTAGTGTACATATTTGCAGGCTGGAGTAGTTTATTCTTCCATGTACTTAGTTGTACAGTCTGTTTTGCCCAAAAGCTGATCAAGAACTGAATTAAACTTACAAAGTAGAGGTGCTGACATGAATGTACAGTCGGGGTTACAACACAATAAGAGATACTTAATAAAAATGTGTTTTTATTACAGGATTGTCAGTGAGGAGGAGTTTATAAAGCTGTCTAAGATGATTGAACCTACCTACTACAAAGAGGTGGGCGTTAACCTGGAGATCCCCAATGCAGAGCTTGGTCAAATCATTGTGCAGCATTTGCTAAATACAAATGATGCATTGATGACAGTGTTCACAAGATGGAGAGACAAACAGCCTCTAGGCACAGACATCAGGGCTCTTCTTGCAGAGGGATTAGAAAGAAGTAACTTAGGGTCCCTCTCTGGCGAACTACTTGCTGGCAGTCTAGTCCTGAAGCAGACAGGTGAGAAAAAGAAGGAAATCATGTCGGCTGCCTGCATGAAGGCCTTTACTGCCATTGATAATGTATTGCTCTTGCAGGCAGCCAACAAACACTGTTTTGACACTTTCTCATTTGGTACAAATAGGATTATTTTATAGCAGGACATCCCAGTAGACAAACAGCCCACAAGACTGATACTGCTTGTAAGTGTCGGCTTGCATGGTGATGTAGATATACAGTAGGTTTGCGGTTGCACCATGTGTGAGAGAGAGAGAGAGAGAGGTTTGAGGAGTCCTGAAAAGGACTCTGACTCGGTAATCTTTCTTGGAGGAGTGTAGTCCTGAAAAGGACTGTTTGTTATCTTTCTTAGCATGCAGTTCTCAGGAGAACTATAGCGCTTGGAGAGGATGAGTGGCTCGACGTTTCGAACAGGTTGACTATCCGTCGTCAGGAGTGGAGAATAGCTGGCGTGCGTGAGCTTAAGTCACCGGGGTGCGGACGTCAGGGAAAAATAGTAGACCGTGTCGGCTTGAGTCATCAGGGAGTGGGCATGGATGGTCGGGCATTGATGGTCGGGCATGGATGGTCGGTCATGAAATACATGACCTCATGTACTTCTGCCTCAACTTCCTTCAAATGGCGAGACAATTACTACCAGCAACTTCAAGGCGCAGCCATGGGATCGCCTCTTTCACCGGTTATAGCCAATATCCTCATGGAGCACTTCGAAACAACGGCACTCCAGACTCTCTCACAACGCCCTTCTCTCTGGCTCCGATATGTCGACGACACATTCGTCATCTGGCCACATAGCAGACCTGACTTAGACCACTTTCTCGCCCACATCAACCAGCATCACCCGAGCATCAAATTCACCATGGAGACCGAGCAAAACAACAGCATCCCCTTCCTAGACGTTCTCGTTACCAAATCACCATCCGGCAAGCCCGCTCATCAAGTCTACAGGAAACCCACACACACCGATAGATATCTTCACTACAGATCCTTCCACCATCCATCCGTACTACAATCAGTCCCCAACGCCCTCATCCGCCGAGCCCATCAACTCAGCGATGCAGACCATCTAGACCAGGAAATCCAGCATGTCACCACAGCCCTAACCAGCATCAATTACGAATACCCAAGACATAAGATCAAATCCAAGACTCCCGCCAACAAGCCCGCAGCTAACTCCACCCCTGAAGAGAACCAACCCGCAGCTACACCACCGAAGCAAACTATTGTTCTTCCCTATATCGGTCAAGCCTCTCTCACAAGATTCAACGTATCCTTCAAGCAGCAGACATCCAAGTTCGACACAGTTCCTCCAACAAACTCCATTCGATACTCCACTCCCACAAAGACAAGCATCCAAACCACAAGAAAGCTGGAGTCTACAAAATACCATGCGAATGTGGAAAAGTCTACGTTGGTGAAACGGGGAGAAATCTGGAAACAAGACTCAAGGAGCACAGAACCAGCTTCGGACTCAGCGATTGGGATAAGTCCGCCATCGTCAAACACGCCCAGCAACACGAACACACCATCAAATGGGATAACAGTCATCTTATCTCCATAATGAAACACCCGCCGAATCCGAGAAGCCATCGAAATTCACCGCCACAACACCGTGCCCCAAGACTCAGGACTATACATCAACGACATCTGGAAACCTCTCATCAACAAGTACCCGGTCACTTCTCCTCCACCACCGCCTCCAGCACCGCCCTCACCACCCCGACAGACACCGGTACATCAACCACCGCCACCCGCCGAACCCTCAAAGCAGCCGCCAGCCTCACAGCTACAATGCACAGCAGACGACAACAGACTACAACGCCGCCTACGTCGGGGACACACACAGCGTCTCGCCGACAGCACCCCCCACTCATCAACTCGAAACTCTCCTAAGTCCGCAACCCGGAGCCTCCAGCCCAGGCGGACAGTCAGACGAATTACCAGCCGACCATCCATGCCCACTCCCCGATGACGTCCGCACCCCGGTGACTTAAGCTCACGCACGCCAGCTATTCTCCACTCCTGACGACGGATAGTCAACCTGTTCGAAACGTCGAGCCACTCATCCTCTCCAAGCGCTATAGTTCTCCTGAGAACTATATGCTAAGAAAGATAACAAACAGTCCTTTTCAGGACTACACTCCTCCAAGAAAGATTACCGAGTCAGAGTCCTTTTCAGGACTCCTCAAACCTCTCTCTCTCTCTCACACATGGTGCAACCGCAAACCTACTGTATAAGACTGATACTGCCGGTCTGTTTAACCCTTAAAATAGTTGTCAGAACACCCATGAGAATGACAAGTCTGTCGCATGGGCTGTCAGTCCATGGGTCGTTGGTCTCATGGACCTTCTAACAACTTTTCAGATGGTTCGGTAGACAGATATTGTCGGTCTTGTGAGCTGTCGGTCTCATGGGCTGTGGCCATTAATACATGGCTACAGACCCACTCATTTGGTAGTTGTGTATTAAAGGGAGATGATGAAATTAGTTTTACATTAAGCTATACAAGGATTATCATTCAAATTTCTTGGCATTTCAAGCCCAGCCACTTTCTGACCATTTTTTTAAAGTCATGCTCATCTTTTGACACCAAGCTTATGAAAATTGTACCATTTCAGAGTCGTTTTATCTTTTGTGACCTTATAATGTCAGCCCCAAAATGGATAATTTCTGATTTTTGTGTACAAAACAAAAGGAAATCTACATTTCTCTCATTTCTTTCTATTTCGAGTGGAATTGTTCTTTGAGCTATAAAATATAAGCTTTATATGGTTCATCATTATTGTCCATACTGTTAAGCGATGGAAATTAATGATATTGACATGTTACTTTATGGATACATAAATAGATGTGTATATACCTTCATACCTAAAGACAAATTCTATTGAGGTACCTAGAAAAGGAAACAAAAAGACATGTCATGCATCAACAATAGTATATATATGTATGATGTGCAGACAATAAGTTATTATCTGTTCTCATTTAATCTTGAAAAGTTGACAACAATAAATACATCAGAAATTTGTTTTTATGTTCATGTGTATAATGTTATGAATATCCTAAACAAAAACATGTTGATATTCAGAAGAAATTATCACACTTTTAAAGGTGCACCTGTTACAAGGCCAGGATCACAGACCCAATCACTTTCTCCTGACCTGATCAAGAGATGTGCTGATGATTTCAAATTCAAGTACCGGACAGCTTTCTGTAAGATCAGAGATGATCCTCTCGACCCTGATTCCATTGTACCATTCACAGACATGTACACAAACCTTGTCCTGGAAGAGGAATATCGGAAAAAACGCAAGCGACCACTTGAGTACAGTGATCTCTTTAAACTCGAAGTCAATGGAGAGTTCCCCAAGCGGATCATGGTTCAGGGAGAGGCTGGGGCTGGAAAGACAACATTCTGTGCTAAGATTGCCTGGGACTGGATAAATGACAGTCCTGCTGTCCCAAAGTTTGTGTGGGTACTTGTTGTCCCTTTTTGTGAAGCCAAACAATACACGATCGGTGAAATTGCCAAGTCATATCTCTCCAAGGACAACCCAGCAACAGCCTGCCAGATCACTGAGTACATTCGTTCAAATCCAACTCATGTATTCATTGCATTAGATGGATTAGATGAGTTTAAGGGCAAGGTTGTACAGGAAGGGGAAGCTGGTTCAAAGTCTGAATGTCACCAGCCAAAGTCTGCTGATCAAACCAAGGCAAGATCAGAATCAAAGCAAAAGGTAATGCAGCCAAAGTCATCAAGTGCCACTTCGCAGCCAAGAGTCAACAGTGCAGAGGCAAGTGGAAGTTCTGCAGAGAGAGGTGACATTGCACTTACAGACATTCTGCGTTCAGATGAACTTGCCACTTGCCCGGTGTTGGTGACAAGTCGCCCATGGAAGGTCACAGAGATAAGAGATAATGATAGTCTGAGGAAGCTGTACACTTTCATTCATGTGGAAGGTTTTAGCAAGAATAGTGTGGAGGTTTACATTCACAAGTACTTTCCAGAAGATGTGGCCAAAGCAGATCAGCTTATCCAATTAACCAAAGACAATGTCATCATATCTGAGAATATGGCCCCGTATCCTATCTACATAGCTATGCTCTGTCTTATGTGGAGAGAACTTGGTGACAAAAAACAAGAAAAGTTGAAGTCATTACAAACTTTTTCTCAAATATTTGATGAAATGTTTGAATTCTTGAAGGTGCATTATGCTCAGAAAGAGATTGCAGATTTAGACAGCCCATCTTTCCAAGCATTTCGCTCTCAAATTGAGAAGCTCATGGAACCAGTTGCCAAAGTTGCTTTCACCGGGCTACAAGAAAACACCCTTAGTTTCCAAGAAGGTGATTTTGAACAGTGCTCAGACTCCATTGAAACAGCTTGCAGAGTAGGGGTGTTGTCTAAGGAGAAAAAATTGTCATCTATACATGATAAGAGCAGTTTATTCCTGCAGTCTACTTTCTTCTTTCCACACAAACTATTTCAGGAGTACATGGCTGGAGTCCATCTTGCTTCTTTGTATGAATTCGATCACAATGAATTCAACAGGCTGATTGAGCAAGTAGTGCTGCCTAGGAAGGAAGAGTTTAGGTATCTCCTGTACTTCACTGTATCACGGAAGAAAGCCATTGCCGGGCATGTCATGAAATGCATGTTACAGGGCGACATCGAAGACGACATGTACTTGGATGAACAATTTTTGGTTGATGTAACCTTTGAGAGTCAGGACCTAGATACTGCAGCCTTGGCGAGGGGTGGAATGTCATTTCTGACAATAAGCGAATCCATGAAAGCACACACCATAGCAGGTTATGTATTCACTGGACTAGGTGTATATAAAGATGTGGTAAGTTTAATATCTTACATACATTAATAAGTATTATAATTTAAAGGGGATGTCCACCCTGATATTAAGTTGGTTTGAATAGAAGCAGAAAATGAGAAAAACAGGTCAGTGACAGTTTGAGCCAAATATTATTAAAATGAATTAAAATTCAAAATGTTCCTATTTTAATCAAATATTGCTCAAACTTTCTATTATTTGTTTCTCTTCTTTTCCTACTTTTATTAAAACCAATTTAAAATCAGGGTGGACTTCCCCTTCAATTGCAAACCCCAACAGGCATCTACAGACATACATTTTTCTTAGGAATGGCTATTTAATGGGTTTTTTATTTATTCATTTATTCATAGTATTAAACAAAATATGATTAGCAGCCAATGGCTGAATTGTTCACACTTTACAAGCATGTTTTAAAATTACATAAAATACAATACTAAATATGGTAAGAATATCCAAAAGCCAGATGATACTCATGGTACATAGAACACTGTAGATTAAATAATTTAAGAAAAACAGAACAAATATAAGTCATGAAACATAATTCATGGAGAGAATTAAATTGCACTTTTGATCAATATATTATGTCCATCGTTCCCACCATTCTATTCGTCCTCTTCTTCCCCCTCTCTCTCCCTTTCTCTCTCTTTCTCTCTCTCTCTCTCTTTCTCTCTCTCTCTCTCTCTCTCTCTGTCTCTCTTGCCTGTGGGTTGTTGGCAGATATATCAATAATTTGGTTACAGATATTTGGTTTAATTCAAAGTTCAAAGTATTTATGATAAGTTCAAAAGAGAATATAATTCTAATTAACGGTATGAGTATTAAAAAGATTTAAGAAATATTGCATAATTACAATTTAAAACCGTCAAATTGTTCAATAAATTGTATCGAATTATTTTGCAGGGCTTGAATAGCGTGTAAAATTGTACACATGGTCTAATAGTCTAATTAACACTAATAATTTACAACAATGACAAGATAAACGCATTAAACTGAGGATAATGGGATTGTGCTAGTAGTTTTACCTAAGTATGATGCACAACAGATTTATTTATGGATCCCCCTCCCCCTTTACTTTAAATTTAAATTCAAGAGCCTGATGAGGTAGAGGAGGAGCACTTCTTTTGAAGCGCTCCGTTTTAAGACTTAGGACTAGGTTTGGCCATTTCGCAGTGATCGACAATGTAAAGTTGATCGCAATGGAGGAAGCCGGTGGTGAAAGTTTGATGATGGGCTGGTCAATCTTTTGAACAGACTCGATGCTAGTTTCTCTCGTCATTCATTGGGAGTGGGCAGTTCCAATTCTTTTAGAGCATGTTGGTAAGTACAGTAGTGCAGTCCAAGCACAAGGCAGCATGCTCATTTTTTGGATTCTTTCAATCTGATTACTTTGGTTTTCAGTTAGCCCAGAGGGCCAAGCAGGGGCACAGTATTCTACCATATGGGCCGAACGTAAGAACAGTAGACAAATTCAATCATTTGCTGGAAGTTTGAATCTGTTTAATATTCTGAGCATGTATAGTTTTGTGCTTGCTCGCTTGACAATATTATTCACATGATATGAACATTTCAGATCATGTTTAACCAGTACTCCAGGGGGGTGTTTCATAAAGCTGTTCGTAAAGTTACGCATGACTTTACAAATGACTTATATATGAAAAGCCAAATGGGATGCTCAATCATTTTTAACTGCATCAACTTAAGTTGAACTGTGCA